AAACCTGAGGAGCGAGAGGAGACCAAGAAGAAAAAGTCCGTGGATGCAACAAAGAAAAAGCGGAAAGTACAAAAGAAATCAGAAGAAAAAGAAGATAAAGTTGATACTGAAGAAAAAATGAAGAAGGAGGAAGCTTCTGAGAAGGCTGAAGCTGATGAACAGTTAAAAGAGATAGTAACGGAAATGCCTGATAAAATGAAGAAAGAAGATGGAGAACTTAAAGGCGAACAAAAAGCGAAGGAGATACAGAAGAAGGTGGAGAAGGAAGACGAAGAGTTCGCGAAGAAACATGAAAAGGAAGTACAGAAAGTGGAGAAGGAAAATGGAGAGCTCAAGAAGCATGAAATAAAGGAAGCAGAGAAAGCTAAGAAGGAAGATGGAGAGCTCGAAAAGAAACATGGAATGAAGGAAGCACAAAAAGAAGAAAAGGAACATGCAGAGCTCGAGAAGAAGCACGAAGTGAAGGAATCTGAAGAGGTGGGCGAAGTTCTCGTTGAAGATGGCCTTAAGAAGGAAGCTGACGAGAAAAAGAAAAGGAAAAAGAAGCTAGCAAAGTCTGATCAAACGGAAGAGGTTGGAAAGCTAGAACCGGAGCTCATGGTCAATGGCGCAGCAGCAGAAAAAACTTCAGAAACTCCAAAAATGGAGGCCATTGAAGAGAAGAAGAAACCACCACTAGCTTTGAAGATCAATAAACAAGATTTTGATTTGAAGATTGGTGATTCTTGTGATCTGACGATAGAATCCAGCGATGAAGTGAAGTTTGAATGGACAAAAGATGATCTTTCGCTTAGCTCTGCTTATTCGCAGCAAAATTCCAAAAATCGCACTACCGTTCGTATTACATCTGCTACACTGGAAATGGCTGGAAAATACAAATGCGTGGCGACAAATAAAGAAGGAGTTACGGCTACTGCTACCATCACTGTTAACGTTAAAGGTGAGGTGAATAAAAAGGTGAAACAACGCAAAGATGTAAACTGGTTTTCAGGAGTTCCCATAGCTGAGGCAGAGACGAATGTTGTCGAAGTAAAAATTGGCGAAACTGCCAAATTATTCGTAAATGTGAGAGGAGCAACTGATGTAAAATGCGAATGGAGCAAGGATGGCAAGCCAATTAAGGTGATTTCTGAATTTGAATACTTGAGTTAAATGCTTATAACACATGTTTCTCCAGGCAACAAAAACGATGACGTCCTCGTACAAGGATGGAACTGCCCAGCTAGTTATCAAGTCCGCTGAAATCACACATAGCGGTGTGTATAAGCTAAAAGCGTCGAATGCTGACGGAAGTGCCGAGGCAGATGTGACTCTGATAGTTAAATGTTCGTTTCATTTAAGTTAAAATAGCTAACCCTTGGATTGGTAGGAAGTTTTTTTAGCAGTTCCTTCCGCTCCTGAGGGTCCTCTAAACGTAGTGGTCGAAGGGAGCGCTGCTAAACTTTCTTGGAAGCCTCCAATGGTCGACGGTAACAGCACCATTTTGGGCTACTATGTGGAGAAGTTTGATGAAAAGAAAAAGAGCTGGAACTTTGTTGCTAGGTGTACGGAACCGAATTATACAACTGGTAGGACTCACTTACTTCCTTATTTCTTTCTCAAAAATGCTTGCTATGTTCAGAGATGTCAGGAGCAGAGCTTGTTCGCTTCCGAGTGGCTGCAGAAAATGCCATTGGACTTGGTTCTTTTATTGAGTCCAAAGCAGTGTCAGCAGGCACAAAGCCGGAGATTTTGCGACCGAAAGGTGACGCAATCTACGCTTTCAACGAAGGAGATAAGGCAGAGTTGAAGTTCACGTTCAAAGGTGAGAATGGCTCTGATTTTACAAAAATGTATAGCTACACTATCATCTTTCTCCTCAAAGGGTTCCAAGGTATTACATAATGGGAATTAACCTGTATAGGTTTATCGAAAAATTTTCCCTCTATTTCAAATATTTAGGAGTTCTGTAATTTCCTCAACCTGAGTAGTAAAAATATTTAGACCTTTGAAATTTCAGTTTTTAAAAAGAATTCTATTATTAAAAAAGAGGCGGAATAGAGTAAAAGAGGTGAGAATGGCTCTAAGCAAAAACGTCTGCCCTGCCAGACGCCAGATTAACAACAATTCGTTCAGTGCTAAACAATAGAAGTTTTCAGGTGAACCTGCTCCAAAAGTGGAATGGATTGACAGCTTTGGCAGTGCAATTATCTCTAACGCAGATTATACGGTACTGCCTCAAACTTCTTTAATTCTTCGAAATTCATGCTATATTTTCTGTGTGTTTCAAAATTGGATTTGTCCAAATTTTCAAATCTTAGATAAAAAATACATCGACAAGCACTTCGCTTACCATCAAAAGCGTGGCGATGAAGCATGGTGGAGAATACTTTTTGAAAGTCAAGAATAGCATTGGAGAAGACGTCCTACCACTAAAAATCGAGGTATGGTAGCATTCTACGTTGTACAGTATCGCACAAACGTATTTTTTTTATTTATTTAGGTGAAAAGTTGCCCTGAAGCCCCGGGCAAACCTTCTGCAGAGGAACAGAAAGCGGACTCCTTGCGTTTATCGTGGTCATCACCTGCACATGATGGAGGCAGTCCAATAACGCAGTACATAATAGAAATGCGTACTGTGAGTT